CATGTTAAACTTATATTAAAGTTTTTCTTCACTACCCATTTAAGCCGTCTCCAGCCATTATTAGTCTCAAAGTGGGTTCCTTGTCATCGAATTTGAAAACAAGAGTATACTTAAAACGTCCTTGTTTTTTCAAAAGATAAAAGTGGTATATGCAAATACACATCTCTCTCTCTCTCCATACATACACACATCTTATAAAATGACAAAGCCTAAAAACAGTATGCAGCACTCATACTGTGAAAAAATTGTGTTTTTTCACTCAAGTTCAACATTAATTTAACACATAACTATATACTTTTTTTCAAATTTATAGGACAAAAAATTCAATTACTATACCCATAGTAATGCGGTACTGGTACAGGAAGGTAAAAATTTGTTTTCTGTTCTTTTAGTTCATATGCAAAATTTTAATATACTTTGTGTTGGTTATATTTTAGAACATTGGTCAAGGGAGAGCTACTATGTTTTTCTCACCTTTAATTGTTCACTGAACTAGATGACTCACAAAAAATGCCCTGGTATTCCTTACTGTAAAAGATTAAATGTAGCAATAATAAATATTTCTCATGGTAAACAGGGTGAAGCACTGGGGGCTTAACCACTTGTAGTCGAGTAGGTAGTGAGTGAGACAAAGTGGTTTTGTATATTACTATGTTTTTGACAGTTTCTGTTTAATAGACTTTCTTTGTTTTAGTGAGTTCTTTGTTTTTTAGGATGTGGCTAGATTTTTCTGGGTTTTAATTAGATTTAATAGCTCTTAAGATTGTGTTAATTTTTGTTTTAAACTAAGACTTGGGTGAGATGTAAGTATAAGAGTTTTTATACAGCTTTTCTAGAAAAGACTTAAACTTGGAATAAACTTTAACTTTAATTCTTAACTTCTGAGAGCTTGTCTTAATTTGAATGTTTTAGTAAACAAAGACAGTTGCATTATACGTTTTGGGTGAGGTCTCTTTCTTGGAGTCAGACTTAGAGAGTTAAAGAAAAACAAGCCCACACTCTGTGATATAGTTTTCGTCAAATTTCCTGTTTTTACTCTGAGAGAAATTAGCGTAACTGAGAAGATCACAACAATGTTGTTTTGAAAGACCCATTTTTAGAAGGTTTAATTGTTACTATATGACATTTTATTGAGAAAATCATTGTTAAATTTAAACTTATTTTGAGACAACAAGCCCAAATTTGTTTTAAATGACGAATCTTGTTTGTGAGTATGTATTGCAATATTTTTACTTACACAGTGCTAAGTTATCAATTTTTCTCCATGGAGATTGCATGATTTTACATTCTTTCCAATCTCTGTACTCTCTGCAGTCATAGTGAGGTTTATCCCAAGGAAGCTCTGAAAAAATTTAATTACAAACAGCTATAAGATATCTCAAACCAAACATAAATTTATGAAATGAGGATTCAAATATCAAGGTAATACACATGAAGTATCACATTTCAGAAAATGTTGATAATGTTGTTGTAGGCTATATTTTTAATGTTGGCAAGAGGGAGCTGGAAGTCTTAATGATAATGTTCAGATTAAAAGGTTTAGTAAGATAGGCCTAAAACACCTGGCATAGGGGACATAATGTTTGCGGTGATCCCTCCATGTTTGAAATGAATATGAAGATTAGAAAATAAAATGGTATAGAAAGATCAAGAAACTCGTACAAAGACATCAAGTTGTTGGACAGTGCTCATACCCTCGAGTAACTGTTCATCAAGGAAAGTCAAATCAACAACTTCTGGAAAAGAAACACCACACATTGGTGGAATAGTGATACTGATAAAACATGGAAGGTACACAGTCAAGCCCAAGCTCAGTTCATGTGGATAAGGCATGACCCAGCCCAAGCAGAAGAGACAAGGATTACACAAAATAGAGCCTGTGCTCTCTACTTTACAAGTGATCCACTTCCAAAGCATATGAAATGAAATAGAATGAGCTATGCAGCATTGCCAATCTCATAAGATGATGACAAAACCTTGTCGAAACGTTGTACATTTGCTGTTATGTTAAACTTATATTAAAGTTTTTCTTCATTACCTATTCAAGCCATCTCCAAGCATTATCAATCTTATAAGCAATTCATTGTGGTGCTTTCAGAATCTTATGGTTCCCACAAGAACCAAAAACATGTTAATGAAAGTCTTTTATAATGTTGGTGTTACCCCATTCTGTGCAGATGAAGAAAAAGGTAAGGCCTTCATGCTCACATACATTAACCAACATGCCCATGTTGACATGCAAGAGATGCTCAAGTTACAGCAGTCCTTGTTTGAGGTAACTACATGCAGATATGGAAACCATGTTTAGCTTGTATAGATGCCATGTGCTAACCTTTGCTGATGACATTCTGATATATAGCAAAGGTTTTAGCAAGTTTTCACCACCCCTTAGCATAGTCATCAATCCTGCCACAGCCACATTCTGCACACTCAACAAGTCATGTTGAAAAGGAAAGGCCAGTCACATGAACATCATGTTAACCAGAGCTAGAAAATGCATCAGTGCTCTAAAAGTCAAGAGCCAGTCACAGAGGAACATGTGCTATACAGTAATTACTGAGATAATTTGTCACCACTAGATTTCAAATTTCTACATGCCACTGGAATCTTTGGAAATCAGCCTTGACAGAAAACGCACCTATTTAAATACCATTGTGGATATCCACCTGTCATCATAGACACAGATGGTTAGGCAATCATCTTGTGGAACAACATTCTGCATAAGGCTGGCAGAGCATTCAAGTTTCTCATAAACAGCACAGGAATGGAACTGAAAGCCATAAAGCAAGCTCTCCTCCAGATTGTTCAAAGCAGCAAACCACAAAAAGACAGCATCACCAACAAAATATTTATGACTGATACATAAGCAGAAAGCAAAGTGACTGCATGGTAAGACTATCACCTAGATGTATGTGCCAGGTCATGCATGGGTACCCTGAACAAGGAAGTTGATAAGCTTACATGAGAAATCCCTTTATCAATTCTAGCACAATTCTGCTGGCAGGATACCAATATCCTCTGTGCTAGTAAGGTAAAAGTGGAAACTATTGAAGGTCTTCATCAACAATCAGAGGAAACAAAATTGCTCAAAAACGAGATATCGTGTGGTGAAAATAGGAAAAGCAAAATTTAGGGAATTGATAAGACAGTACAGAGTCAGAAGGCCACTGGTAAAATTAGCAAAGGAACTCTCTTTTACATACTGAGAGGCAGCTGGTTTCCACATGAACAGTCAGTGCCTAGGGACACAACTCCTCAGATTGTAACCTAGTATTCTAGTAAACTGGAAAATAAAATGGGTATTAATTTTATTCCAAGCAAAGAATCAGCTGTGAAATCAATGAATGCTGCACTTATTGATTTGTTTCAAATTGAACAGTTGAAACCACTGTCCTTGTACTTTAGATGGCTTATAGAAAGCCAATAAGGAGGATGAGTGTGTTCTAGACAAGACAGCCTTTTGGCAATGGAAATTGCAAAGTTATTGTCAGGATGCACGGTCATCTGATAGAACATGACTAAACATAGCAACCTGGACTGTAAAGATGTAGTGAGACTCCAAAATCCTTTTAACTCTTTGACTATGGGTCTTGGTACATTGCACCTAGCCCATAACTAACCACCAAAGTAACCATGAGAGTAGTCATACTATAACTTTTTATAATGTATGCATATCTTCATAAAATTGTGCAGATTATCAGTAAATGTTACAAGGCTTTTGTACACAAAATATCAGATTTTTTAATTAAAGATTTCCTTGTAAATTTTTTCTTTCGTAATGTTGACTATCTAAAGAGGAAAGTAAATTTCATTTTAAGATTAAAAATGCTTTTCTTCATCTGAAAATTGTCAAATTCCATTTGCATAATCTCTATAACCTCCAAAATATCTTTAAGAATTTAACTATGGTATAAAATTTCTATGAATTTTTCATAAAAAATTCATTTTTCTACTTTATCTTTCAAAGTTGCATGGTTCATGGGTAAAAGTGTAATTACGTACAGCTTCCCCTTTATAGCCTACCTAAAATTGTTATATTATCATAGAATATATTACTGTATTAACTTCCACCAATATCACAAATTTATAGTAATACAAAAAAAAAGTTTTTGTTTTTCTACCTCCTGCAAGCAGTGCAACCAAAATTACACCACAACTCCAGACGTCTGCTGGTTCTGCATTGTATTCTCGAATCAAAACTTCTGGTGCTATGTAAGGTAATGTACCACATCGTTTCGTTAGTGGTCGTTCTTTCCCTTGGTAACGAAACACTGTTGCCATCCCAAAGTCAGTAATCTTCAGAGTATCTGTTAAGAATGTATATTTAATAGGTTGGTAATTTTCAACCTGTATAACAGTAACAAGTATCTCACGGATCGATTTATCACAATTTAATTTTTTAATTACTCTTCGTTCCCAAAAAAAAGTTGGGATAAAATTTTACAAATTCACATTGGAAAAGAAAAACTAATACAAGTAGATATTTATATGAACAAAAGTATAAAACAGATAAAAAAATGGGATTATGGGTTGGAACCAATATTTGAAAATATATGTTGGAAATTCACACAGTTACAAACAATTAAAATTAAATTAAACCTGACTGATTACATTTTAAAGGAGAACTATATAAAAAAGCAGTTCAATGCTTTAAAATTAATATCTTTTTTTTTTATAAAAATTGATTTTACAAACATATGACAACAGCTTAATAATTAAAAGCATTTTAGTATTATTTCCCAGAAATAATCAGACGTAAT